ATTTTCTTGTTGACATTTTCCCTTAAAATGACTGTTTATGCAGCTTTAAGCAACTATAAGAAAATAATAAACTAATTGGAAAATGTTTTACTTTTATCCGGTATAAAGTTTTATTTTTACAAACCTAGACACACAAGGGCTTTGTCTACCCTCTATGGGATCATTCAGTTTCTTTACATAGATTGTGTATAAATATTTCTTCTTTGTCAGTAAGGGTTTATTCAGCAGTATTAATCGGCACGTTGAGTGAACTGCACATTTGTTTATATTGGACAGATAGAAGAAAAGCTTCCCAGCTTCTTATTCTGTCTTCTCCCTAGTTGTACCTCTAACTTTTATTTATTTAATTCCTCATTTCCTCATTTCATATTTAAGGTTTATAGCTAAAACACTGATCAAAAAGAATAATAAAATTCTGTCAATATTTATTGAATTTGACATCAAATATTATATATATATATATATATATATATATATATATATTTTTTTTTTTTTTTTTTTTTTTTTTCTTTTCCTTTTGCATTTAGTAATTTGAAAAAAAAAAAATCTTCCGTATCGGTGTTGGTTTATTTAAAAAAATCAATTATGGCTCAAGATCACAGTTCTTTATTGAATGGTGTAAGTGCATTTTATTGCTCCTTTATTCAATATATGTTTTCTTCTCTCCTGTCATGGAGATTTTAGCTATTATTTTTAATATCGTAGTGATCATTCACAGCTATGTGATTTAACATGTCAATGCATGTCCATAGGTTAGCCATTGGTTTAAATGGTCTCCAGTGCAGTGGTCTCCAAACTGTGGTCGGGGGGGGGGGGGGGGGGGGGGGGGGGGGGGGGGCAGATGCAGCCCTTTACTTGTATTTATCTGGTCATTGGTGTATTTACTATTTTTATCATATGTGAATCAAAGGTGTGATCATTATTTTGTATATACCATCATATTAAGAATTCTTACTTCCTTTTTTTTAACATAACATGTATTCCTATTTTACCATCTTCTTTAATCCTTCGTTGGTTCTAATGAACTCCTTCCTCTTCTCCCCTTAACTATTACTTTTGCTGATTATTTGTTTTGTTTATTTTAACTTTTTTTGTTATCGTTTTTTTTCTGTTACATTTTTCAGTTCAATTTACCAAGAAAATGTACCATTTTTTTTTTCATTTGCAAATAACTTTGCCATGCTTTGTACCAGAAACATCATTTTAGTTTAATTTTAAACAGGATAAAAAACAAAATGTATAACAAACCTTTAAAAAAATACTGGTCAACGTCAAAAAAGATCAAAGGTGTGACCAATATTCTGTATATAATATAATTTAAAGAAATTTAAAGAAACCTGACAAGTTAATTTTTTTAACATAAAATGTATTCCTTTTTTATCACAATAAAAAATCCCTAGCTAACCCTAGTTGGCCCTAATCAATCATTCCTTCCCTTCTCCCCTTAAAGTGTTACTAAACCCAAGACCCTGTATTCACTATATTTGGTCTCCCGATACACAGAACATGGAATCCAATTATTTCAGTAACTATAAACTGATAAATATATTTTCTCATTAGCATTATATAGCAGACATGTGATTTCTATCAGTGTCCAGATGAGCAATGGTTAACCTTTTAGGAGTTTTCATTCTGCTATGACTGTCCTATGAGGCTGTATGACCCCTGACCCTCTGTCTGGACAGTGCTGATTGACCCTGTGCTTATCACATGCACCCTCCCAAAGCAATAAAAACCTCTCTAGCCATACACACTAAACTGAGCATGTGCAGAGTAACTCCTAGATCTCTGTACTATCAGGGATTGGAGACAGTAGAAGAAGGGGAGGATAAGAGAAGACAGGATCAAACAGTCTTTTTTCACAATGAGGAGGATTAACCCCTTAGGTCCCACAGTGTGTATAACAAGCATGCTTTACTGCATATACAGACTGATTTTATTGTTGTGGATTCAGTAACATTTTAACTATTTTTTTCTTGCTGATTATTTTTACCTTTTTGTTTTTATTCTTTCTTTGTTACTAATTTTAGACAGAATAAATAACAAAATTTTACAGTAAACCCTCAAAACAATACTGGTCAATACTTAAAAAAGATCAAAGGTGACCATTATTCTGTATATAACATCATTTAAAGAAACCTTTAAATAAATAAAAAAAAATAAATAAATATATATATATATTTTTTTTACCACTTTTTAATCCCTAGCTAACCCTAGTTGGCCCTAAACAACTTCTTCCTTCCCTTCTCCCCTAACTATTTTTTTTTTTTTTTTGCTGATTGTTTTTTTTTGTTTGTTTTTTTTTTTAGCCTTTTTATTTTTATTCAATTTTTTTGATACATTCAATTTAACAAGAAAATATACAGGGTTTTTTGTCATAGGCAAATTAGTTTGCTATGCTTTGTACCAGAAACCTAATTTTAGTGTAATTTTAGACATGATAAATAACAAAATGTACAGGAAAACTACAAACACATAGCAGTCAATACAGAATAAAAAAACTTATGCCGTTGGCAAAAGACCTTGTGGGCATCAGAGAGTTGAGGCAGGGGTAAGTAGGTAGTGTTAGGGTTAGATTAAGTGTTAAGGATAGGGTGAAGATTAAAACATACACGGTACATTGCTGCAATACTTGCACATTGCCTCATGTTTTATCCATTTAAAGATCCTACAACAGAAAGCTACCCACAGACCTGCCAGAAAATCACTCAGCTTCATGTGCGGAGAGGTGTCAGCCCTGCCCTGCCACGGGATCGCTTCCCCCAACCACCTTATTCTTACCTGAGCCAAATCTCAACCCATTGCTGTGCTCAAGAGCAGCATCTTTCTCTGCTCTCTCCCTCCTCACAGGGCAGATTGATAGCAGCAGGAGCCATTGGCTACCACTGCTGTCAAACAAATTCTATGACAAGGAAGCAGGGGGCAGGGCCAAGCCGTGCTGTCTATGTGTATAAATGCAGGCAGAGCAGCACAGGATTGAGCCTACCCAAGTGACCCCTTAGAAAGAAGCTTTCTATGGGGGCACTCACTGAAGAGGAGGAGCCAGGAGTTCTGGTGGAAATCTACCAACCCTCCTTCTGTTAAAGAGTGGCTTCAATATGTTGCAGAGATGGAGGAGCTCATCTATACAACACAGAGCAAAATTTCGCACATTTGGGTGTGTTGGACCTATTTTCATGGGACTTCTTCCTAGCAAGCGTTCTGGCAAGACAGTGAGATCTGGACAGGGTAAACCCCCTGGATTAGTCTATTGCTCTTGGCCTTATCGTTGGAGTCCTTACCTACTGTATGTTCTCAAATGGTTGGGGACCACCCTATTTTTTAGACACTTTTTTGACACCACTACAAGTGCTACCCTCTGGGGTCTGTGTGTAGATTGAGGTGGGGGTTTCCCTTCCTAGTCCCTTGCCTCCTCTCCTTTTCCTTAGCTCCCTCCATTTTTTCTCTTTATTGCTTCTTATTTCCCTTCTCTATTATTTTTCATGCCTCTTATGTTTTCCTGTTACTGGGTTCAGGGTTCCCCTTCTATCCTATCCCCTCCTTTAAGAAGCTTTCTATGGGGGCACTCACCGAAGAGGAGGAGCCAGGAGCTCTGGTGGAGGCTCCATTGAAAATCTACCAACCCTCTTTCGTGGGACTTCTTTCTATCAGTCGTTCTTGCAGGACAGTGAGATCTGGCCAGGGTGAGCCCCTTGATTAGTCCATTGCCATAGGATTTATTGTTTGGGTCCTTACCTACTGTATGTTCTCCAATGGTTGGGGACCACCCTATTTTTTAGACACTTTTTTTGACACCACTACAGGTGCTACCCTCTGGGGTTTTTGTGCGTGGATAGAAGTGGGGGTTTAGGGAAGGAGTATCTGTTTCCTTCCTAGTCCCTTGCCTCCTCCCTTTTCCTTAGCTCCCTCCCTTTATTCTCTTTATTGCTTCGTCTCTTTCCTCCCTTATTATTTTTCATGCCTCTTACGTTTTCTTGTTACTGTGTTAAGGATTCCCCCTCTACTCTATCCCCTCCTTTAAGGCTATGGTATAGCTATGCTGCCCTCTCACCAGGGAATTCTGCAGGGGGGCACCCCAGGCACCTCTTTCCCATGGTGTCCTCTTGTCTGTGCAGTGGTGGGCTCCAGAGAGAGGGGAGGGGTGGTTATTTCTGAAATCTTGGGGTTACCACCATATTAGGTTTGCCTCTGCTCACCGGTTTACTTTGTTTTTACTCATTTACAGTTCTTCATATTCTCCAGTACTCAAGTCCATGCTGTTGTCAGTTCCATCTGATGGCCACAATGGGGTATTTACCTGATTGAAATATTTCAGGAAAATACTGCATTATGGTCACTAGATGAAGCTGATAATCATAGGAGATTAACAACTCAATTTTACTTGGGGTTACCACCATATTAGGTTTGCCTCTGTTCACCAGTTTACTTTGGTTTTACTCATTTACAGTTCATACTCTCCAGTGCTCAAGTCCATGCTGTTGTGAATTCCACCTGATGGCCACAATGGGGTATTTACCTGATTGGAGTATTTCAGGAAAATACTGCTTTATGGTCACTAGATTAAGCTGATAATCATAGGACATTAACATATTTTACTTGGGGTTACCACCATATTAGGTTTGCCTCTGCTCACCGGTTTACTTTTGGTTTTACTCATTTACAGTTTTCATATTCTCCAGTACTCAGGTCCATGCTGTTGTCAGTTCCATCTGATGGCCATCATGGGGTATTTACCTGATTGAAGTATTTCAGGAAAATACTGCATTATGGTCACTAGATGCAGCTGATAATCATAGAAGATTAACATATCAATTTTACTTATTCATACTTTTGGTATAGAAAACCCAACACCAAACATTGTCATCACAGGTCTCAGTAGCAGAATCGAATGCAGGGTATCATTAGTTCTAATGTCTATTTTTTTTGTGTTTTTTTTTTGTGACACAAAGGTTTCGTATAATAACAACATCACAGCCATTTTCCTTCTGGGTTTCCATGACATGGGCAGATTTAATGTATTGCTCTTCGTCTTTCTACTTATCATTTACTGTGTGACAATATGTGGAAACTCCTTGATCATCACATTGGTGTCCTACAGCAAGAACCTCCACTCTCCCATGTACTTTTTCCTCACTCAGCTCTCTGTTGCTGACATCTTGTTGACCACAGATATTTCCCCTTTCATGCTAAATATTGTACTACATCAAGGGGCCTTCCTATCTTTTCATGGGTGCATCAGTCAGCTATATGTTTTCATTTTATCCGAGGGATTTGAATGTTTTCTTCTGACCATGATGTCCTATGACCGCTACCTAGCCATTTGTTCTCCATTGTATTATTCCTCCATTATGAACCATGCGCTTTGCATGAAATTAATTGTTGCCTCTTGGCTCCTAGGCTGTTTGGTTGCACTGATTCTGGTACATGGAATAACCCAACTATATTTCTGCAGGTCAAGTATGATTGACCATTTCTTTTGTGACTTTTACCCTGTGATGGACATTTCTTGCTCAGATATGTCTTTGCCTCAAATAGAAGCCCCCTTATTGTGCTTCCTCGTAATTGTCTTGCCATTCTTCGTGATAGTAATTTCATATGTATGTATTGTGTTAACTATAATAAAGATATCCTCCAGTTCTGGAAAAATAAAATCCTTTTCAACTTGTAGCTCCCACCTGACAGTGGTGTCTATATTTTATGGGACCCTAATTGCCACGTACATCATTCCAAATGAAGGACAGATGAAGATCCTCAGTAAGACGTTGGCATTTTTATACACTGTGTTCACCCCATTACTAAATCCTTTTATATACAGTCTGAGGAATGAAGACATTAAAGAAGCTTTGAGAAGAATCATATATAACCAAAATGCTTCCTATTTAATATCTTGGATGAAACGGACAAAACAACTTGATGCATGACTGTCTTTAACCCCTTTTCTACGGGGCACTTATACCCCCTTCCTGCCCAGGCCAGTTTTCAGCTTTCAGCGCTGTTGCACTTCGAATGACAATTGTGCGGTAATGCAGCAGTATACCCATACGATATTTTTATCATTTTTTTCACACAAATAGAGCTTTATTTTGGTGTTATTTACTTGCCATTGGGTGTTTTATTTTTTGTGCTATAAACAAAAAAAAAAAAAAAAAAAAATGTGAAAAAAAAGTTTTTCTTTGTTTCTATTATAATGTTTTTCAAACAGATAATTTTTCTCCATCACTGATGTGCGTTGATAAGGCAGCACTGATGGGCGCTGATAGGCAGCACTGATGGGCACTGATGAGGTGGCACGGATTGGCAGCACTGATTGGCACTGATAGGAGGCACTGATCGGTGGCATTGATAGGCGGCACTGATGATGCTGCACTGATGGGCAGATCTGCTCGGTACTGATGGGTGGCACTAATGGGCAGCACTGAGGGGTGGCACTGCTGGGCAGCACTGAGTGGTGGCACTGATAGGCACAGGTGGGTGGCACTGCAGGGCACAGGTGGGTGGCACTAATGGACACAAGTGGGTGGCACTGCAGGGCACAGGTGGGTGGCACTAATGGACACAAGTGGGTGGCACTGCAGGGCACAGGTGGGTGGCACTAATGGACACAAGTGGGTGGCACTGCAGGGCACAGGTGGGTGGCACTAATGGACACAAGTGGGTGGCACTGCAGGGCACAGGTGGGTGGCACTAATGGACACAAGTGGGTGGCACTTCAGTGCCCTGATGCTCAGTGCTGATTCCTTCGCTGACAATTGCTGGTTCTCGGCAGTACTTTCCTCATACTGTGACAGCGTGAGGAAAGGGCAGCCAATAACCGGCAACTGTATTTGCCCGGTGATCTTCTATGTCATTGGACACAGCTGATCACATGGTAAAAGGCCGCTGTGATTGACCGTTTACCGTATCACATGATCAGCTGTGTCCATAGGACACAGCAATCACTGTCAGAGCTGGGTGAGTGCCCCTGGGGGTGCGCAGGCGGGGCGTGTTCTGGAATGACGTTCATGGACGTCATCCCAGGATTACACAACTGCGCTGTAGCCATCCTTTGGCTGTAGCGTGGTTGGAAACTGGTTAATAATCCCCAAATACTACCACAACATTTGTTATTAACCTATGCGGTTGATTTATTTATTTATTTGTTTTTTATTTTATTCATTTTTATTTTCTTAAAAATATTAATTAATTAATCAGCACTTTTGTTCCAAAAACGTATGTCCTAAAAAAAAATAGTTGTTCATGTTGCAATGTACATTACTTATTCATAGATTCTGTTTACAAAGCAAAGAACATACAGTATGAGAAATAGATACTTGAACTGCTGGCCAACTGCCTACAGTACATTTCCTGTGGGGGGGCTAGCACAGGCTGGATCACATACATGTATGTCATGTAGCCTGTTCCAGGTTGCGGACATGTAGCATGCTGTTCCGGTGATCGCTGTGTCCAGTAGATTCTGATATTTGCTGGCTGAGGGATTTTGTGATCGCTATGCGATCATATGATCACAATGTCAGCAAAGCTGCTTTGAATTAATTTCAGCTGTGTTTCTTGCAGAGTGTTGCTGTGATTGGCCCACAGCTATCACATGATACCTGGATTTTGTGGTGGCAGCTATGCCAATATGTCAGGGAGGCTGCACTTGACCCTAGAGCTAGGGGATGGGTCGCCCTGCAACCCCTGTTGATATGCCCATGCTATTGTGTTGATCTCTGTAAACTGTACAGGCAAGGCAAATCATAGCCCTTCTGTACCATGTGATTAGCAGTAGCCAATCACAGATCACAAGTAATCCCAACTGTCATGAATGTAACCTATTCTTGACAGTTGAAAACTGGTATCATTGTAACAGCAAAAAAAATCCCTGATCACCCCCTCCAGAGTAGTACAGTGTTACTATGGTGACAGTGAACTACTCTGATGTGAGCATGTAAAAAAAATAATACAAAAATAAACAAAGGTTAGAAAAAAAAGAAAACATTAAAAAGAGTTGAACCACCTGCCCTCTGGAATATTTACCTCCCACCCTGAATAGTTTTGAAATTCTCTTTAGGAACTAAGATATTGAGGTCTTTCATAGTGTGGTCTGGTTGTGCTGTGTGTTTCACTGTGAGCACACTGCTTTGTGTTGGTCTGCTATGCAGAGCCATACAAAGCAGTGTGCAGGAGCTGACAGGGGATAGAACTGTATTGTTTACATACATACCTCTCACCCATCACTTGGTGATCACTGGGTGCTGGCGGGGAATCACCGACTGGAACCCAGTGATCAACAGCTGAAGCTGCCAATGGCAGCGCTGGTAGAGAGCGAGTGCGCCCCCTAGCCGGAAATGTGAAATTACATATATATTCGTGATTTTGCACGGCCGTGCTGCCCAGTAGCAGTAGTTCTGCTATATGGCGGTGGGCAAGCAGTTAATTACCTTCATCTGTTCATGAACTTCTCTACACAAGGACACTACTGTAGACGATTACTCTTCTTACATTTCACAGCAAACATAATACTGTATGGATAAAAACTGGGACACCACTTTGAACATCTTCATCTGTGCAATTTTGGGACTTAGTGACTGGAGACGGGTGCAAATTTCTGGGTTCAGTTCACTTAAAGTAGGGTAAATCTTGCAGAAACTTAGTGACGGCATTCTGAGTAAACATGTTCAGGAGGAAAAAAATTTGTTTTGTTTCTATGAGTCATCATTTAAATAATTTTGTAAATTGAACCCCTTCCCATCGGCGCCTCCCGGCCCTTTAAGAGTTTCAGAAGCTGGGAGGCGGGGCGGGCGGGGCGTGGTTTAGGGATCATGTGACCGCCGTGACGTGTCGTCACGGCAGTCACGTGATCGGGAAAGGTCCCGATCGAAAGAGCAGACCGGACGTTTCTGTGAGTACCGGACATGTGTGCAGGGCGTGCGCTCTCAGCACATGTTTTTTCTTACCTGAATGCAAATGTGCGGCCCGCTCGGCGTCTAGGCCCAGACGCCGGCGTAAAGGGGTTAAATTTGGTAAATATATGTTTCATTAATTTTCAGAATTCGTTTAGTTTAAATTCAAACTTGACCAAACTGAAAAGCATTGACACTTTAATTTGAATTTATTCTTTTTCAAGATTTGAATTTTGGAGATTATTTTGGTTATATTCTTTCTGTTCTGTTCTATTTTATTCTTTTCTATTCTATTATTTTATTTTCTATTTTATTCTATTCTTTTATTCTCTTTTCAATTTGATTCTGTTCTACTTTACTCTATTCTTTTCTAATCTGTTCTGTTTGTTTTTATTTTTATCCTATTTCATTACATTCTTTTATTTTCTATTCTGTTCTTTTTTTACACTACTCATTTCTACTCTATTCTGTTCTATTGTTTGTCTTTTTTATTTCCTATTCTATTTCATTTCTTATACTCTATTTTATTCTATTCTTTTATTTGCTATTCTGTACTGTTTTACACTATTTGTTTCTACTCTATTCTATTCTATTATTTTTAGTCTATCCTTTTCTCTTTTACTCCATTATTTTCTATTCTATTGTTGTATTTTCTCTTCTCTTCTTTTTTTATTATATTCTTTTCTATTCTATTCTTATCTATTTGGGACCTTAATTTTCCATTTTATTTAATTTAAATTTATTTTGTGTTCTGTTTTACTTTATTCTTTCCCATTATATTCTGTTCTGTTTCACTTTATTCTATTCTATTCTGTTTTATTCTATTCTTTTCAAAAGTCAAATTCAGAAGACTACTATATTCATTCTATTCTATTTTATTTTGTTTGCTATGCTATTACATTCCTTTTTTTATATATATTGTATTCTTCTCTTTTCTATTCTTTTTGAAATTCATATTTTGGAAGACGGCTATATTCTAACACTAATGCATACAGTCTTTGAAGGAAATCAACAATATTCAGCAACATGTTTATATTTTGAATTTAAATTCTATTTCATTTTCAAATTCGATTTGAAATTGAATTTCAGCCTAAATATCTTTTCATTGTTTCAAATATGTTTAAATTCGTTACTTTTGTAATTTGGAAATTCATAGACATCCAAATTTCCGAGTAATAAAAAATCTGTCCTAATTTCTATTTGGAATGAAACGAATCACACATGTCTAATTCTAAGCAATGAATCCCACTGAAGTCAATGGAGAGCAAATACTGTTACTAAATGAGTAGTAGGCAAAATGTTGCCCAGAAAGATATGGTAAGCTTGGTATTGCCACGGGGGATATGTGCCAGTGCAGAAAACACTGTGCACTGTGTTTTTATTAACAGTGCTCAAAAAAATTAAAGGAACACTTTGAAAACACATCAGATCTCAATGGGGAAAAATATCATGCTGAATATCTATACTGACATAGATGGGCTGATGTGTTAGGAACGTATGATGTCCCATCGTTTGATGGAAATGAAAATTATGAACCTACAGAGGACTGAATTCAAAGACACCCCGAAAATCAAAGTGAAAAAAGATGCAGCAGGCAAGTCCATTTTGCTGAAATGTCATTGCAGGAACTCA